CTACGTATGCATAAGGTGACGAGAGTCCGTCCATAGCTATATTCTATGTGATGTCCGGGTAGTCTTAGGCTTACACCATACTTTGGTTGCACTATTATGTTGGTTATGCACATTAACTGCTTTGAAATGAGTTGAGATTAAGGATTTTAATATTTTAAGTCTCTAGTTTGGATTTCTTATGTTTGAAAAGAATTGAAGGAATTTATAAGAACTCTGATAATTTTACGTTCACTCGCGTCGCAAGTATTTTCGCGAGCGAGGTAAAACATTCCTCTACTCTCATGGGAACGGGCGGTTCGCCTCGGCAGGTTAATAGATGCATCTATGGTTCGTGTCGTTCGACCCTCGACAGTGTACAATTTATTTTTGAATCGGGTCATACGACCTCGGCATAAATCGTGCGTGATAATACTTGGAGCCTAACTTTTACTTGATATTAATTTATGGCTTGAGCGGTTACTATTATTTAAAGTATGAAAATTGATTCGAAATTATTGTTAGTGAAGGAAATTATTATTCACTACTTATTACTGTATGGTATTAATTTCTTACATAATCCATGCTTATTTATAATTTTCGCATTTTATTTATAGCCCATAGTAAGTGTCGATGTCGACCCCTCGTCACTACTTCTTCGAGGTTAGACTTGATACTTACCGCGTACATATTGTTTATGTACTCGCACTACACTTCTGCACTAACTGTGAAGGATCTGAGGCGGGTGCATCTGGTGGACATATCGGCGCAAACCCCCGTTACCCGGAGGCCTAGTGGTGAGCTTCATCCTGAGTCGTTCTGTAGCACCTAGAGCCTTTTTTTGTACTTATTTTCTGTCTATGTCATTTCAGACAGTGGTTAGAGTTTTGTATATTCTATTAGTGCTCATAAACTTATGACACCAGATCTTGGCACACGCTCTAGTAGACTTTACTATTTTGGGATATTTACATATTTATGCTTGCATTCAGTTATTTTCATTTTAATCATTTGACTCTCTATTTCTCAAAGTTTCTAAACAAATGGGATGTAATTACTTGAAAATTTTTTAAAAGAAGAAATCATGTAGTAACTTCACCGTAGGCTTACCTAGTGGCGACGTTAGGTGCCATCACGACCTATAGAAGAAATTGGGTCGTGACACCTTTTCTACCAGAAAAAGGATTCCTTTATTTTCTATTATTTAGGCACATCGGGGATCACCGAATTTAATTAACAAGGCTTCCAATTATGGAATTAATTTATAATTTTCGAAATTAATATCCACCACAATTAATTACGAATTATTTCACTAAAAATTCGTAATTGCACTCCTTATTCATCCATTAAATCTTACTTAACTTCTCATGTTAAGATCCAGATTTAAATCTTACTTAACTTCTCATGTTAAGATCCAGATACTAATCAATTAAATTAAATTACTGACAATTTAATTTATTGATTATTTCCTTTAGACTTTCGCTTAACTTATTTCATGTGTCGGATACAAAATCTATCGGCTGGATTTACACATAAAAATTTATACGCTTTCATAAAGGTGTATCACCAATCTCTAAACTGAGACATGGATTCCATCAACTAACTATTATTTCGCCAATATACATTATTATTATTATTATTATTATTCAATTTATCAGGTATATTGACCCATGAAAGAATCCCGCCTTTTAATAAATTAAAACAATAATAATATACACATCTAATAATAATTATATCAAGTTTAAGAGTATAAGTACATTTAATGGCAAGAGAATTTATTTTATTAAGTCAGTATAAAATACTTATCTCTACTTGATCCGTTCAATACATACAAAATGTACTAGCACAAGAAGTTGGAATTAAACTATTCCCATAATCAAGATAAATTATATTTAATCTTATGCTACAATCATTCCTGATGGTTTGTCCAAGTCCATCATTAGATTATGAACTCAAACTTTATACTTATAAGAACCGATGATTTAATCTTCCGTGTATAAGCTAAACTCTATACACTAAATCATCAACTATTTAAGCAAAGGACACAGACTAATATATGATCTATTTAAAACTTTACTAAAATTGAATGAATAATTGTTCCATAATAAATACTATATCCAAACCAAACTCATGGTTAATAGTATATATCCCAACACATCCTTCAGGCCTTTGTATGTTATAAACATAGTAATAAATTAGGAATTACTTTTATTAAAACTGTCTTGGATGTTACTAGCTTGGATAACTATGCTATTATTAACACCTCTTCATAATGATAAATATTACTTATATACTAATATTTTCTTTTTTTAGAAAGAAAAAAAAAGATGAAAAAAAAAACGCACAAGAGTAACCTTCCTTGTTGGGCAATTTAATTAACTGTATTTTAAGAACAAGAATGATGAGTAGTGAAGTGAGGCCAAATAAGAAAAAGATGAGGCTGACATAGGCAAATGTATGTCCTCAAGGAAACATACCAAATCTCCCACAATTCTCTAATTCCGCATTTCGGAGACCATGACCCCCTCTCATCTGTATAGTCAGCTTTACTTTTATTTTTGCGAAGAACATTATTTACGTTACCCTGGCTAGACCGAGCCAATGAATATTGACGTGCGATGACACATTCAAAAGTTTCTTTATATGCGGTTCATTCGTGATAACTTCGTTAAATGAATAAGGAGACCGTTCATTAAGATCTTAACATACCAAAGTATAATCGTGGTATTTTTAAACGATGACACGTTAAACTATTCATGTCACTGTTGTCCGGACTTTGGGTATGATCTTATAATTTGTGGGGTGGGTGCAAAAATTCTAAGTGTCTTACGTTGGCAGTGTGGTGGGATGGATGGAATTTGAGAGAAATCCATTCCCAAATTCCATTCACGGCCAAAGATATGGCCGAATGTAGCCAAAATATGGTACGTATGTGGACAAAAAATTCGGGATGAAAACGGGAATGGAGTGGTTTTAGAAAATAGGGGGAATATTCTCTATAAGGACTTGGCTGAGACATGGACAAGTGTTTGGAATAATTCGTAAGCATGAATAATAGACACTCGAGAAATTTGAGAATTTTAGCATTGCTTTTGATTCTTTTTTTTTTTTTTTAACGTTATTATTAGAGTTGTTTGAATTATGGGAAAGAAGCCAAAGAGAGGAAAAGACGTCTAGCTGGGTAGAAAGTGTGAACGCCAAACCAGATTTTGAATAAAAGAATGCAGAGATTGAGAAAAGCCAACTTAGCCATGATTTCAGGCGAGAGAATGTAGCTAAAGTTTCACTTGAAAATCTTTAAAGACCCTCTGCACGTATTGTACAAACTTTTCATTATTCACAAGTTCTAAAGTAATTTCAGATGACGAAGTTGCAAAAGAATACATCTATTTGTAATTCGTTTAAACTCAGCTCGAGCTCGGACCATGCGAAATATGGGATATATATTTCGTGTATTGGACTACCATTTTTTCAGCTCGAGCCTCTCTTTAATTCCTTTCCATATTCGCGATTATGATTCACTAAGAAATGCATTTTATTCTATCTCGGACTCATCTGCTACTGAGAAAGTATTAGGAAATATGAAAATGCAAGAGGCAAGAGGCTCCCTCTTGTGTCGGGTTAAGGCTCCACCTCATCTTGGGTAGTTGTCTAGTTGAACCCAATTTCTTCAGTTGTAGTCTAGGACTTTGCTTGGCATTAAACTTCGATATAACTTGCTTTCCTGGTCTTGAACTAAACCTTTGCTCTAGTAATTCAGCCTATAAATTTTGGTTTAGGTTAAAAATTAGTTTTTTAGCTTTAAGTCCATCAATCAATCTCTCATAAACCTCTATGGTGAATCTATATGGGACGGCCAAAAATTCCTTATAACCCTCTCATCCAATAATAAAAGAGTTAAACTTTTATGCGCTGCTAGTGAAAGAAAAAAGTTTCCACACTGTGAAGCCATACAAAAGCAAATTACAGGTAATTTTTTTCTAGCAATTATGAATTGAAAACCTGCAAAAAATACTGATTAGAATTGTAGTTGATAAACATCAATTGTTAAAATATATTATTTAAGTGTTAAAATTAATTCTATAAATAAGAGTTACGTGTAGTTTTAATCAAACTAACAATAAGCCTTTGGTATATTTGGTTTTATAAAAATGACTAAAATGCCTTTAAACTTGTTTGCAAAATAATCCAAATTAAAATATTTTTATACGGAAAATGACGGATGACAGAAATGGAAAAATGTGAGATCAAAGAGAATTGTTCATTTTTATTTTGCCATACTGCGGGAAAAGTGGATCTGACTATAAAAAATCTGTTTAAATAGATCCATCATCTATATACTAAATCGCTGCAATTTTCTATGTACAACTCATGGTGAGCAGGGAATGTTATCAATAAACATAGTAACATTTTTCATTGATAACATCAAGAAAAATGAGGTAATTCGATAAAGTAACCCCTTAATAAAGCCAAACAAAATATAAAAGAAATACTAAAAACTTGCCAACGAGTATTCACCATCACTAGAAGTTAACTACACAACAAAACTATTTTAAAAAATGCATAAAGTTTAGTTTAATAGATGCACACGAAGCTTTCAACACCCACTAAATGTTTTAATTTAACTTCTAAACGAAAGTCAATTACAGACAAGTTTTCAATTTTATGTGAACATTTTATTATATTAAAAGACATAACTTTTTATATACCTAGAATATTTTATTAAAAGACATTATTTCTATCCACTCAGAATATTTGACACTTTTTACCTTCCAAATTTCAGACTAAATAACTAGTGACTTATGATTATAACGTACTATTGCGTTATATTGATATGATTAACTCAGCATCCGATTTCACTTTAACAAATTGATAAAATTCAAACTCAGATGATTGAAAGATACCAAACAAATAAGATGCTATAAATTTATTAAAAAAAGATAAAATAGAAACTAAGATAAGATGTACTATATTGATTGTGTAACATGGGAATATATATTTTTGTTCCTCTCTTAAACGAAGTCAGTATTTATTTACTCGATTCGAACCAAAATTAAATTCTTTTTTGCACTAAACGCTCACCAACTGCTCACACCCGACGTATTTTCTCTCGATCTGAAAAAGAAAAGAACAAAACAAAATCCAGGAGAATGATCCAAGTGTTATTCAGTGTGATATTCGCCGAAATGGCGTTAATCGTGATGTTCGTATTCAAGACGCCATTGAGGAAGCTGGTGATAATGGGCCTGGACCGTATTAAGAGAGGCCGCGGCCCAATTGTTGTCAAAACCATTGGCGGCACCATCTTCGTTGTCATGCTCTCAACAATCTACAGTGTGGTGTCGATCCGCAAACGCTGGATCGATGAAGATGGCAATATTACTCCTACTGATCAGATTCTTATGGCTCAACATCTTCTAGAAGCTTCTCTCATGGGTAATTTCTGAATCTGTTTCTATGGATTTGAGTGATTTAGCAATTGATATACGATCTTATAACTTTTGTTGCTAAAATTAAAGAATGTGTACTACGTGCTCACCTAATTGTAATTTATGCTATAGAGATATGTATGTATATCATACAGTTGCGTTTGTGCTCCCAGTGGCGGAGCAAGGGGTTCAACTGAATCCCCTTAGCCACAAAGTTATATTGTGTATATAGGTGAAAAAAATATACTACTATGTATTATGAGGATTCATATAGTCAAACTCAACTTTGTTGGAACTGATGATTGTTGTTGTATATAGGTGAAAATATCTGTATGTATATATATCAATTGTTTAATCCCTAGACATTGTGCTGTCAATATAGGTGAAAAGGTCTTTATGTGTATATATGCCAATTGTAGAACCCCTACAAGCAAGAGAGCATTTTTTTCAATTCCATTGGTGAAATTCGTGGCCCCGCCACTACAAGTACTAGGTTTTGGATTTCAATAACCAATGGTGGAGCCACATGTATTCGAGGGGTGTCAATTACAATGAGTAGCTAGATAAAAAAATTATTTTCTATGTGTATATACTACTGTAATATTAACACCCCTTAGCTCTTTCATGGGTTTAACTTTTTATGTTTTAAACTCGCTTAGTGAAAATCTTGGCTCCCAAAAATAACAACTAACTGATCTTTTTTCTACATGAATAGCTTTTTTTTCTTGTATTAACTGCAAAACTGATGCATATTTGTTTTTCTCTGTAAGTTTTTTTTGGATTCGATCCTTCCATGAATTGAACTATTAGTTATATTTGATACAGTATTAATTAGTTGTGGAATTTAAATAAACATCAATGACCGACTTGGAAACTAATGCTTTTAGATGGTTTCACTTACAAAGAATGTCTATTGATAACAGAGGGAATAGCTTTTGTTTCAGTTGGATGTTACACACTGAATTAATGTCAAAAGGTCCTGGACTTGCTTGACCTCTTAACTTGTTTAGCGTAAAGATTGAGATATAAGCTGGATTTAAAACAAAATATGAGAAAGAATCTCTTTTTGTGATTTTCCTTTCCTTGTACAAGCAATTCTCCTGGCTTTTTTGTAGCCCTCCAATCAATAAGTGTAGATACTTGGAATGAATTTTATGTCTATACCATGTGTTTAAGTTCTCAGCTACAGTTCTGTTTGCACCACAATGGTTTATGTAATTATCTAAAATTATTCTCTTTTGTAACATGAAGTGATGCATTTGATCTTTATTGCCTTAAACATAAAGAGGTATTAGAAGAACTATAAAGCACGCAAACCTTGGTGCTCTTTGGATGAAAGAGGGAAGAGTTGAAATATTGGTGCAAAATGCTAATGGAAGGAATTCCCTTGTCCTACCACTACAGAATGGAAAAATGCCAGTATTAGGGGAGCATCAAGATCTCTTTAGGGCTTGCAATGAACGTGATGTGCTTTCTGTTGGATGTTATCTATGCATATTAATTTGAGAAATAAACCAGAAAGGTGTAATTTAAAGAATTTGTTAACTTTGAAGGGTTTAATGCTTCCATTGATGAGCATCTCTCTCTTATCAAGGGGTTATAAGTTTGTTGCCTTTTCTCTCTTCATTCTTCTTGTCCCACTAACGTCTTTCTTCCGAGTCTGAGTCTCACATGGGATTTTTGTGCAGGTTTTTCCCTATTCCTTGCTCTGATGGTTGACAGACTGCACCACTATATAAGAGAACTTCGTATAAGGAGGAAGAGCATGGAAGCTGTGAACAAGCAAAACAGAGGTTTTGAGGATGGGAAAAATGGAGCTTGTGACGATATGAAGTCTTTGGAGGAAGAGGCAAGTGCATTGCGTTTAAAAATAAAGAAGCTGGAGTTATGTCTGGAGGAAAAGGCTAGAGAAACAAGCGATGCAGAAGCCAATTCAGTTGCTCTTAAAAAGCAATCAGAAAACTTTGGTCTTGAAAATGATTCCTTACTTGAGGATAACCAGAATCTCCGCGCTCAATTGCAAGCACTGGATCAGAGATTGTCATCTGATACCAAAAAAGATTCATAAGGAATCTCGTTTCACATATCTTCCGTCGTTACGAAGTTATGTTGTGATTTTCTTTTAATAGCTTAGTATCATTCGTGCTCAAAATATGGACACCAGAGTGTAGGAAATTCTAAGTTACCATAATTTTTTGTGATTTCACTCCGGAATAGGCTCTATGAAGGACTTCAAATATTTGTCCTAGCGAGCTGCATTGCCTGATGGAATCTTTCCTCAATTAGTTTACTACAACTTGTCTATATGTGCTGTTATTGCCAAATTTATCTGTCAAGACAGCTGTCTGAAAAGTACTATGTAGTTTTGATTTTTGATATCCTAGTTTTAATGTCTTGAACTGCAATTGATTTTCAAGGAAATTTTGTGCATTTATCTTCTAGCTTTTCATTTTCTTCTGATAATGAACGTTTTATTTAATTTCTCTTCACCCAAATAAATTATACCTTACCATGGCCAGATGGAGACTGCACCATGATGTTGACAAGTACGTGAGTCGCAGGAGGTCATAAAGACTTGGAACTTGGAAATGAATCAACATAGGATGCATCCACATCTGTTAGTCGGAAAAAGTATTTACCAAACCTTTGCATGTAAGATTCCATTAAATGTACTATAATTAAGACCTGTATTATCTATTTAATTTGTAACTCTTAAAGTTGAAATTAAGTAAACACCGCAAAATTGTATCTCCCCTGTATGATTACAATCCAACCTACATGGGAACTAAGGATTGACGAATCATAAGATACAGACCTGCTGCTCATTTAGTCAGTCGTTTGATACCGCTTAGTAATGCACCCTATTTCCATGTGGTCCTCATTAGCTAGGTCTAAGCTTGAGCTTTCTTGCCAACATTAGGCAATACTAAATTTGATTTTTGCAGCAATGGATTTTAATTAAGATGCACGACAACACATTCAACCAGTGTATTACGCCATATAGATACACACAAGAAAAACAACAATAAGAACAAGCATACACTAACGGTACCACATATCTTGTCAAGGAGAGAAGCCAATATTTACAAGGTTTTTCTCTTGCAATACCTTAGGTTCACACTTTTACAATCCCATTTGCTGATGACCAACTTAAGGGCAAGTCACTACAACATTTGGGAGCAAGGGAACAGGGGGTGGAGGTGGCTTTTGCATTTTTTATTTCACTAAGCTGCTTCTGCAAATCCAACTCTAAGTTTGCCAAAATCAAAGACGGTGTGATATCGACCCATGAAAACATCCCCCAAGATCCTGCACCACCAAAGCCATAAGCAAACAGCATTATCAAAAGGGAGCTGGTATAACTTTTCTAGAATAACAGAATCTGCACGTGTGTTAAGACGAAAAGAAAACATACCAGAGAGGTCCACGGGGTGGAGGAACATCCAAGGCAATGAAGCCACTAATACATTGTGCAGCAGGACCCTCGCCCACCTTGAGTATGTACTGGTGACAAGACAAGCATGCAAGCTTAGTACAATCATATGAACTTACCAAGCAAAGAAACTGATATCAAAGCTCGACACACTTCAATGACATTAATTATCCAATCATAAGTTAACTTATCAAGCAAAGAAACTGATATTGAAGCTCGACACATTCAATATCATTAATTATCCAAACTACACTTAGCTGTCATGGTTGAAATTTTCTACAAGACAAGTGTACTTCTCTTGAAAGCAGCGTAACACCTTGCTAGCTAATCTAGTGAAAACCAAAAAGAATTGAACTGCCAAACTGAAACATGACAAAAGGATTCTACAACCAACCACGTCGTTCAGAAGAATCAAAAGCCATTTACAAGTTGAGAAGACACCATGTATACTACAGAAGATTGATATCAGACATACCTCCTCAGGAGAGAGGTCAAATGTTCTGCCACCAATTGTGAAGGAAACACTAGGCATGCCAGAAAGTTTTCCACAATCAACAGCAGATTGTCCCATTGGGCTTGGTAGTCGCTCGCAAAGCTGTTAAAGATGGTCAGTAATCTAACCTAAGATGAGAAGAGAAAGCATGTGACTGATGCTATTTACCTCATTCACATAGTTCAAGATGCGTTCTTGGGTCTGGTTCTGTCTAAGTTGGTTCTGCATCCAGACAACCGCCATTTCACAAGCGGAGCACATAGCATCATGCAGTCCTGAAGATTTGCCAGCATTCTCATCTACAACACTCTCAATGCCCATACTACACGTGGAGGACATAAATCCACTCAGCACACATTTTATAATAGGATTTAACATATCAAATGATTGGCCAAGGTTAGGAAAGAAATGATTAGCCTAACCTAATGCCACGAGTTCCATCAAAGGTGCATAACCCAACCTGCGAGCAGATCTTCTTTGGATGTGCCTGTTAAGACGCCAATCCATCAGAATATTGGGAAGGCAACTAGTAGCACGAAACCACCCTCTTTGCAGATACCACGGAAAACTATTGGTAAAAACAAAAACAAACTATCAACTAAAATAATTAATTGCTCACCTCCGCTAAAAGCATATCCATTATTGTTTGTCCATACTGTTCAACAACAGCTTTGCATTGTTGGCTTACAACCCCCGAGGCGCCAATGGCATGATTAATCATAGTGATAACAGTCTGCAAGATAGAGGAGGAAGGATACAGTGATGAGAACTAGAAAATGTAGTAGTAAAGCATTTCACTACTGCAATTGTCTAGACAAATAAAGCTGCAGCTTTTTCCTTGTATCATATTTGTCAACCATGCCTTAAAGATGAGAAGAAAGAAGCAGTTCTCAAGTTGCATTAATTTAATAAGACAGAAACAACAGGCAAAAGTTAAAAAAAAACATTTCTTAGGTATGACAATCAACAAGGTAGTTTGTCCTGATACTGGGATGAACATCAATTCCACTGCACTTCCCGTCGTCCTTTTTTTGAATAGGAAAAGGAAAAAACGAGAAAAGTTCAAAGGAATGGCTGATTATTATTTAACTGATATTCCAACCAAAAACTAAACCTATTCATCGCTCGAAGATTGTTGAAGCTACACATGAACAAGAAGGTACAAAAAATATTCTGAGCTAGTTCACTATTGAAAATAGCTGAATAATAGGGACAAAAAGTGGAATATGCTTTGGAGAATACCGTTGGACCAGCCAAGAGAGAAGTCCCAGAATCCGCTATTGCAGAACATCCATTGTCACAGTAACCTACATTATTCAGTATGTCAATACAACGAAAAAGCAGGGAAATCATGGGAAAGTGCTCTCATCAATATCCTCGAAATCTCCACACACAAAAAAATAGAAAAGGAAGTAACGTAACATACCAGTAGCTTGACCATCAATCAGAACATCACCCATGTCAAACTGCATATTATATTCTGAAGAGTAAGAAAACAGTTGCAGAAAGCAAAACATCAATCTTCCGAAGATATAGGGATATTTACCTGCCAATAACCTTTCCGTGTGACTGGGACATAGGTGTGCTTTCCCTTATAGTGGTTAGGATCAACCCCACCAAACACAATTTCGCCCCCTTCGTCTTCCTTTGTATTTCGGTTGAGCCAAAATGAGAAGACAGGCTCCTTGACAAGACCCTGTTTGACCATGTTGTACCTATAAAACACAGAAGAAACCGTCAAGACCGGTATCACTTAAAACTTTATATAGAAGAAAATGTTCATGAAATTCTGCAATCCAGAAGATAAAATCATTTCAATAATAATGAAATTCACAAGGCACGCACTTGGTTAATAGGAAATTGAAGAAACATTTGGAAAGAAGAGAACGCAAACAAAATAAACCCACATACCATACTGGAACAGCATTTCCAACAGAAATCTCCTGGAAACCAAGACCCAATATACCATCAAACTTGGCTACCAAAAAAGTCACACTGGGTTCTCTTGTTGCCTCAATGAACTCCTGATGTCATTAACAATCTCGACAGATGAGAGACCATATATTCAAGAAACATAAAAAAAAATTAAAAAAAAGGAAGTGAGAAGCCACATTCACCTGATTTTGCACAATAAGGTCACCGACTTTAACGCTATCTTGACTGAAAAATCCAGATATTGCTCCAGTACCATAACGAATTGCAGCAGACTTCCCTGTATGGCATATTAAACAGAAAAAGGTTTGGATGAACAGGTTCTTAGGTCAACAACCAATTGAACACGTTGACCAACTCAACGACAGAGAAGAATATTCAAAGGTCATATCAAACACACAGCAGACATCAATTTTCCAGGAAAGTAAATTATGATAGATATCAAAACTCAATAAAGGAACTCCAGCATAACAGATTCCTTGATAGACAAAACAGTTTAAAAGGCACAAGCTTTTATTGCAAATCATGAGTAAAAAAAATCAGAGAGATAACATTAGCACATTTTTGGCAGGGAAAGCCAACAACATAAACTTGCCAAATTATATTTTTCAACAAAAAACTTTGATACAAGGCACATAATTGGATGACAACAATAAAAATGGTGAGGGTTTCCTTTATTTTCTTTTTAAAAAAATCCTAAGTTGGTAGCAGAGTTAATAGTTTTGATCTCAAAACCTAAGACATGTCATGTATAATGCCAATAATGGAACGCTTTCTCTTACAAGCAAGCATTGAGCATAAATAACAAGTATAAGAGAAAAGCACGTGTCGTGTTGCAATTATCAAATATAGACAAAGGTCAGAAACAGACCATTTTTCTTATAAGTGCTTGATTGGCTTGACTTATACTTGGAATGGAAAAAACAGGGAACCTGCACAAACATAGAGAAACATAAATATTGATGATCATCAAATTATGTAGCCAATACTAGCTTTCTCTATTATGCATTCTTTTAAGGAAAAAAATAACTTACTGAGAAGTAGCACTTTGATGAAGGCACCCACAAATTAGAGCTACCAGTATCAAAGATGACTGTGAACTTCTGAGGGGGAGAGCCTATACCAATCTCCCCAAAGTACTGAGCATCCATATAGTTCTTCAGTGCTACAATGTCTGTATCCTCAGAGGCCCCAAGATTACCATGGAAGTTATTATACTTCCTAATAGAGGCTCTCACAGCCTCGCCCTCCTTGGACTCGACGCGTGCAGCAAGTCGATTGTTTTGATCAAATTTTATCTTTTTCAGTCCAATTCTAACCAAGCCATCATTTGACGTAGACAAGGCCAAAGGAAATAACAGCGATGAGAGTAAAATGGTGACAAGAAAAGCTTTTGCTCCCATATTGACCTAGGCAAATCATCACTTTGAGTTAATAAAATTTAGGCCAAGCAATTAGTGAAGATATATTAAATTCAACAAACAAGAGAAAATGCTCAGAAGATCAAATCACTCATGTTATGCCTGCTGCATGTTTTTAATGGATAAATGACAATCTAATGAGACTAAACTCAATCGATCACTCAATCAACTTTGCCTCAGTCACAAACTAATTGGAGTTGAGTGGATGAATCCTACCATATATTCTGCTCTTACTGGTAAATTATTTTTTCTAAGGCAAGAGATGATTCTTATTCTGGGAAATTTATAAGCTACATATTACTTCATCAAGCTATAATAAAAAATGGAAGAACCCAAGTAAAAACAATAGCCTAAAAAGTGGAGCTTTGTTTATCTACTCCCCTTTTAACCCTCTTATCACTAATCACATGCCTTGCTCCCTAGCAACAAAACCACCACACGCACACAAATTGCACTTGCATAATAACAAGTTTACCTGGTAATTATTTTCCCAAAATTTATGTTTATAACAGCAACCCGTCAAAGCACAAACATTGCTAAATGCCATAAAAGGTGAAAATAACACTAAACAGAACATCAATTAAAAAGATGAAGGGAAAAAAAAGTACTTCAATTTTTAACAGATACAATCCTCGAGAACAGAAAACCAAGGTCCAAAAGAAAAATGAAACATAAACAGAAATAGTTCTTTCTTGCTAAGGAAAAAGCCCAACCTTGAAAGTAGTAAAATCATGAGACAAATATATGAAATGAAGCACAAAACCTCTAATACCCACAGAAACAAAAAAAGAAAAAAGAAAAAAAAAGGATAAAATATATCGACAAAAAGAGAGTTAATTTTTTCTTAAATAGAAGAAAAAGGAAACAAAACAACTACTCACCAGTTCGATGAAGCAAGAAAGCAGAGAGAATGAATAAGAATAGAAGTTTGGAGATGCTTTATTGCATGAATAAATAAGAGAAGAAAAAAAGGAACCAACTTTCAGACCCACTAAGCTGAGATCAGCTACCGTTCCTCAAACAATTCCCAACCGTTGGATTTATTTAATTTGGACCTTTGATTATCAGTTACAAAATCGTTTTCCCAAGATTCTTTTTTACAAGAACAGTTTTTAGCCGTTGGTTTTGTACATCAACGGTGGATAAAGTGTGATAGAATAAAGTGGGTCCAAGGGAGAAGATTAAAGAAAAAGTAATTAGGTTTTGATAAGGATATATTAAAAGTCACTGAAAACGACGAGGCAGTGGAGTGGGACATGACCGAAGCCTTACGCGGCGGAAATGTATGAAACATTCTTTAATTGTTGTTCAGCTTTGCACGCGACAGCGACACATTGCTTTTTTATGTCACTCTTCTGCCGCTTCAATGAGAATAGAAAATTCTTCTGCCCGTTGATATTTTCTTGGTAAAAGATCTAAATTTTCTTTTAGAAAGGGTTTAGATTTACCATCCGTCAGTAGTTTGAGTCAAATTAATTTTAACGGAATAAGAAGATAAAATTTATTTTTGTTAACTAACAACAGAAGCTTATTCGATTCAACCAATGTATATATTTGCACTGATTTTCAACCTACTAATTCTGTATCTAAGATTACTCTATGGATTCATGTGCGGCAATTGCATCCTTTTTATGTACAAATATATACTTTGAAGGAACTATAAAACTTTATTCCGATAAGTAGCAACACGATATTCAAGTCTAAAGAAAATAACACTTTGACGCAGAGATGCTAAAGTAGTCGAGTTATGGGATGGCAAAGGCCTTCAATCTTGTAGAAATGACACCAAGTTGCCACTCTAAATCGCTTGTAATATGGATAAATTTTTATGATATTTGCCGTGACATAATATTCATTATAACAAATTTGTAGTTCATGACATTTGTCATGACATAATATCCATTATTAGGCCAAGGATTTCTTGTTATAAATAGAATAGTTTCTCCTCATTTGAAAACACATCAATTCAAGAGCGTTTCACTCTTGTCTTTATTTCTCCTCCTTTATTTCATTATAGAGTATTTTGTAAGAGAGTGAGTGTTGGAAAACACTTGTGTGAACCCTTTCTTTGGAGTGATCTTGTGAGGTTATTCTCTTGGGGTATTTGGTAATTAGAGTATTTACTCTGATTTTGTACTCTTGTTGGTATAGTGAAATTGCTTCTCTCCGCTTGTGGACGTAGATCACCTTGACCGAACCACGTTAAATTTGTGTCTTCTTTATCTTCTTTAATTACTGTTATTATCAATTTGCATTATTTTTGTTATTATCATTATAATGTTGTTTGGCTAAATTCTGCACTACCCGATTTTTCAATCCTAACAAATTGGTGTCAGAGCTAGATCTAACCGGGTTAGTTTAAAAAGCTAAAATGACTCTAACAAAGTCTTATGTTGAGAAATTTGACCGAAGTGCAAACTTCGGAATGTGGTAATTAAAGATGGAAGCTATACTAATTCAGGATGGCTTAGATTTGGCATTGCAAGTAAAGGAAAAGATGCCGGATAAAATGACGGACGAGGAGTTTGTCGTCATAGACAAAAAGGCAAAAACAAGTATTATTTTAAATCTTTCAAATGAGGTTTTGCGTGAAGTTGCAGCAGAAAGCTCAGCCAAAGGCATATGGGAAAAGCTTAAAACCCTATATATGAAAAGAACAATAGAAAACAGGCTTTACCTAAAGCAAAAACTCTACACTTTTCGTATGGCTGAAGGTGCCTCTATACTTACACATCTTGATACTTTTGTTTCTCTTCTTATGGATTCAAGTAACATAGATGTTGAAATCAAAGATGAGGATCAAGCTGTGTTATTGTTTATTTTCTTACCCCAGTCGTTTAAGCATATAAGAGATACTATGCTTTATGGAAATGATAATATCTTTTATAAAGATATCAAATCTATTTTGAAATCAAAAGAACAAATAGATAGAGATATTACTGGGAAACTAGTGTGAACCAAGGGGAAGGCTTATTCATAAGAGGTAGATTCAATAAGAAAGATTCAAGTAGTGAGAAACCTAAATCAAGGTCGAAATCCAGATATAGAAATGTCATGTGCAAATATTGTCATAAGAAAGGTCACATTATATCGGAATGCTTTAAATTGAAAAACAAAGAAAAACATACAGAAAATAAAAATGAGCACAAAAATACTGACACTGCTGAAGCAAGTGTAGTTGTTGATGAGACTGAGGGAACTATTTTTTTAGCAACTAATAATAGTTTCAAATCTAACAATAAGTGGATTTTAGATTCGGGTTGTTCTTATCATATGTATCCCAGTCGGGATTTATTTACCACATATGAATCTATTGGAGGTGGAGTTGTCTTAATGGGCAACAATGATGCCTGCAAAGTTATTGGAAAAGGTACAGTCCAAATCAAAATGCATGATGGTGTGGTGAGAACTCTCACCGATGTTAGACATGTTCCTGACTTGAAGAAAAACCACATCTCTTTGGGCACTATAGAATCTCTTGGGTGCAAGTACACAGGTGAAGGTGGAGTTCTGAAAATTTCTTATGGTGCTCTTGTGATCATGAAAGCACGCAGATCTGGTACGTTGTATACTCTTTTGGGATATACTGTTACAGGTATTGCTGCAGTTTCAATATCAGATAAATCAAATTCTGACATCACCAAATTGTGGCATATGCGATTAGGGTATATGAGTGAAAAGGGTCTTTCCATCCTCAGTAAAAGAGGTCTCTTCTGAAATATGGAGTTCTATGAACATTGTGTGTTCGGGAAGCAGAAAAGAGTCAGCTTCAAATCTCCAGCGATTCATAGAACAAAAGGTACTTTGGATTACATTCACTCAGATCTTTGGGGTCCTTCACGTACCCCATCAAAAGGTGGTGCCAGGTATATGTTAACTTTCATTGATGATTATTCAAAGAAAGTTTGGGTTTATTTTCTGAAAAATAAAAGTCNTGATGTTTTCTTAAATTTCAAACAATGGAAAGTTTTGATTGAGAAGCAAACAGGAAAATAGGTTAAGCGGCTTAGAACAGATAATGGCTTGGAATTTTGTAATGATGAATTCAACGAATTTTGCAAGAATGAAGGAATTGCTCGACATCGTACTGTGAGAATGACACCTCAGCAAAATGGTGTGGCAGAAAGGATGAATAGAACTCTTTTGGAAATGGCTCGTTGCATGATTTTAAATGCTGGGTTGACAAATACCTTTTGGGCAGAAGCTATCTCTACAGCTTGTTATATTGTCAACCAAGCTCCTTCTGCACCTTTGAACTTTAAGACTCCAGAGGAAATGTGGTCAGGTACTCCTGCTAATTATTTCGATTTAAAGATATTTGGTTGCCCTGCATACATGCATGTAAATTATGGGAAATTAGAGCCAAGGGCTAAAAAGTGCATTTTTCTTGGGTATGCATCTGGGGTGAAAGGATACCGACTATGGTATCCTGATCCCATGACACCAAAAATTTATAATTAGTAGAGATGTAACATTTGATGAATCCTCTATGTTACATTCTAGAAAAAAGTCTTCTAGTTCTTGTAATACAAATAAAGGAAAGAGTACACAGAACCAGGTGGAGATTGAGATTGGCATTCCTTCTGAGCCAAGCTCATCAACTTTGGAGCAAAATATAGTTGAAACTCCTGAAGTTGAGACAGAAGCTGAAATTCCTGAAGTTGAGATTCCTGAAGTTGAACCAGAAGAAGAGGAGTATTCTATAGCCAAACATAGACCAAGAAGAGAAGGTAAACAACCATTAAGGTTTGGAGATTATGTTGCATTTGCTTTTTCAGTTGCACAGGAAACTGAAGAAATTGGAGAACCATCAAAATATTCAGAAGCAGTTTCTGGTGCTGACTCAGCCAAGTGGCTGATTGCAATGAATGAAGAAATTGAGTCTCTCCACAAGAATGGTACTTGGTCTCTTGTGAAGCTGCCATCAGGAAAAAGAATTGTTGGTTGCAAATGGGTCTTCAAGAAAAAGGATGGCATTCCAGGGGTTGAAGATGCGAGGTATAAGGCATCATTAGTTGCAAAGGGCTATAGTCAGGTACAAAGAGTTGATTTTAATGATATTTTCTCATATGTTGTTAAACATATCTCTATTCATATCTTGCTTGCCTTCGTTGCCATGTATGATTTGGAATTAGAACAACTTGATGTTAAGACAGCTTTCTTACATGGCGAACTTGAGGAACAAATATACATGCATCAACCCGAAGGATTTGAAATTGAAGGAAAAGAAGATCATGTTTGCTTGTTGAAGAAATCCTTGTACGGATTAAAGCAGTCTCCAAGACAATGGTATAAAAGGTTTGATTCCTTTATGTTGGGTCATGATTATTCGAGGAGCATGTATGATAGTTGTGTTTACTTCCTGAAGTTAAATGATGGATCATTTGTGTACCTATTATTATATATTGATGACATGCTCATTGCTGCTAAGGATTTAACAGAAATTCACAACTTGAAAAGTCAACTGAAAAGTGAATTTGAGATGAAAGATTTGGGAGCAGCTAAGAAAATCCTTGACATGGAAATCAAAAGAGATCGAAAAGCCAACAGGTTATTTCTGACCCAGAAGAAGTACTTGGAGAAAGTCTTGGAGAGGTTTGGCATGAAAGATGCTAAACCAGTTAGTACCCCTCTTGCTGCTTATTTTAAGTTATCAGCTACTCAGTCCCTGCAGTCAGAGGAAGAAGAGAGGTACATGGCACAGGTTCCTTATTCTAGTACAGTCGGCAGTATTATGTATGCAATAGTTTGTACACGCCCAGACATTTTACAAGCAGTGAACGTGGTAAACCGGTATATGGCTTGCTCTGGTAAAGCACATTGTCATGCAGTGAAATGGATTCTCAGATACTTGCGAGGTACTTCAAATACATGTTTGGAGTTCGGGAGAAATACTAGCACTTTGGTTGATTTTGTAGACCCAGATTATGTAGGTGATCCTGACAAAAGAAGATCACTAACATGCTATGT